TCAACGCAGGAGCTGCCCAATGGTGGTCAGAGCTCTTCCACAAGGGGAGCTCCACTTAGCCACAAGTCGGGTTCACGCTGGTGAGCACACTGCAGTGACAGGAGCCCTCTTCTCCTCCATGGTACTGCTAAGGACCCTTCGGGGGGCGGGGGGGGGGGGGGGAGAGGAGCCCCAAGGGCTGTCCCTCGAGGGGTCCCAGACTGCATGAGGGCACAGGCCTGGGTGAGGGATCCCTTTCCCAGTGCATGAATATCGTGCACCGGGCCTCTAGTTGTTATATGAACTTGAATGTTTCATCTGTCTAACAGGGATTTGATGAGATAATGAGGACCTAGTATACAGTACTTCAAATAATAATTATGAACACTTATTTAAAATATTTTCAATATACAGTATTTTAATTTCTTTCAACCTTATTATTTTCTATTTATGTTCTTCCACCACATTTTATTTGTGAAGGTGTTTAATGAATAAGAATAAGATAGTAAAATCTAAGTTATCCGAAATAAACTATTCTGGATAAATTTTCCATAAGGGCACTTTATAGGTATAAAAATAAAAGGGATTTTATTTTTATAAAACCATTTCCTAAACCTATTACACACTTCCATGCCTTCCTTTAAAAAATATATATATATATATTTTTATTGATTTCAGAGAAGGGAGAGGGATAGATAGAAACATCAATGATGAGAAAATAAAAATTGATGGCTGCCTACTGCATACCCTCTACATATGCCCTGACTAAGAATCGAACTGCAACATCCTGGTTCATAGGTCAATGCTCAACCAATGAGCCATGCAAGTTGGGCTCTTGCCTTCTTGAGTATATACTGGTGGCAATTAAGCTTTTTCTTGATGAATCATAGGAATAAGTCTACTTGACTCTACCTAAGACATTTTTAACATATAATACATGAATAGAAGTCAGGATGTGAACCTGGATGTGAAAAAATTACATCTTTATTTTTACTAATCTCTAACTGAAAATTCACATTTCTTTCCATTTTGAATATAAGCAACAAATTTATATCTGTGTCACCAACAGAATTACAGATACTTTATATCACAACTGTTGCAAACTCTGAAAATATATTTGTCATTTCAAAAATTGGGTCTTTCGCCAGAACCGGTTTGGCTCAGTGGATAGAGCGTCGGCATGTGGACTGAAAGGTCCCAGGTTCAGTTCTGGTCAAGGGCATGTACCTTGGTTGCGGGCACATCCCCTGTAGGGGGTGTGCAGGAGGCAGCTGGTCGATGTTTCTCTCTCATTGATATTTCTAGCTCTCTGTCCCTCTCTCTTCCTCTCTGTAAAAAATCAATAAAATATATTTTTTTTAATTAAAAAATTGGGTCTTTCTAGGCCCTTCACAAATGTGTTAATAAAGCACATTTATTCCTATATCAATTTTTAAAAATATATATTTTGTGACTATTTCAAAATGTTTTCTTTTATAATACTGTAAGTTTTATTTTATACATTTAAAAACATTCTGAGAAGAGTTCATGGCTTCACCAAACTGCCAATGTGGTTTGTAGCACTAAAAAAATGCAAGAACTTTGTCCCAGTCCTCTGTGAATTCTAAGCATTAACATGTTTCATGATACTTTCATACTGAAGATTGTTTAAACCGAAGTAATAAAAATTGGCTTCTTCAAGGTAGAAATGTTTCCTACCACCGCTGAAAGAACAAAATAAGTAGATGGGGAAATTAGTCAGATAAAATTAGATTCAGATGGCATTGAAAGTAGAAACATAAAACATCCTTCTCTCCTACTTTCTAAATTGTGAGACAATATGAAATCCCATTCAATAAATACTCTGAAGTCAACAGCATGGGTTGAAATTCTATTTCTGCCCTTGATTAGCTATGTGACCTTGAGATAGTAATTTAATCTCTGCATCAGTTTCTTTATTTGTAAAGGGGGTTAACAAGCATAGTATCTGGTAATGTGTTCCATAAATATTGCCCTTATTATTATGCTTACAGATTTATTTCACACTATGGCCAGTAATGTCTCATTGGTTAGTTTAATAACGTACATTTATATACCCCTGTAGTCTACAGTGTCCTTCCACATACATTATGACATCTAAACGACACAATAACCCTGTGAGAAAGGACAACAGCTATTACTGTGCCTAGTTTAGTGTTGAAACTAAGTAACCACACAATGACACACATATGGGAAGCTATAGAACCGGAAGTCAAACCTGGATTTCTCCCTCCATTCCAATTGCCTAACCCTGTGTTCCTACTCTATTAGACTGGTTAAAAAGAACAAAGGAAAAGATTATTGGTTGGGGGGTGGGGAGTCCAGTAGGCCAGGAGGTGAGCACTTTGGTGCTTTTGCTACTCACAAGAAGTTGCTCTGACCAAGAATAATCTGTATCACCTGGAGTTTATTAGGAATGTAGAATCTCAGGCTTCATCCTGGCCTAAATCAAAATCAGCATTTAAACAAAATCCCTAGGTGATTTCAATAGCCACTGTTTTGAAAAAACAGTTTCACTAATTGCCCTAATGACACTATCATGTTCTACTGAACAGTATGTATTAGCTAACTTAACAAACCTATGAAGTTTTTACTAGGTAATACTTTTCTTGTAACAGGAAATAAATTGCTGTTTCCCTTTTTTTAAGTGTATTTTAAAAACATGTTTGTCTTTCTATTTAATTCTTAAAGATCTCCACGTCTTTAAGTGGGATCATTGAGGAATAATAGAAAACTTTAAGCAGGTCAATGCTACCTTTAAATGACTTTAAAATTGTCTCACTAACCTTTGCCAGAAACAAACGCTAGAGAGCAAAATACTTCGGACCCAGCAGATTAAAACAGGCTGATCATATCCTAATAGTTCTCCTCCTGGATGTTTCACTAAGTATTGAGTTTTCTGATCCAGAATTTTGAATTCTTGATGGAGTTTCCCAACGCTGTGGTTCAAGGAGTAAGCACGTAACAGGAGAGGACTAGTAAGACTATTATTCCATATCTAACCCTACAGAGACCGGCAAACGGCCCGTCTTTCTCTCTCTATTCTCCGTCTATTAAATTCACAGCCGAGCTCGATTCCTAGGCTGCTCAAATTATGGCAACAGGTCTATATGGGTCTGCTCTTTTCAGTATACTGATCATCTCAGGTCAGAAATACATTGGCTTTCGGCCGATGGGAGCGCCGATCAGCGGTCCGCTAGGTTCTATTTTAAATTACGATTCCCATGCTGGGATACGCCTCCGCCCAGGGGTTCACCCGGCCAGAGACCCGCAGTAGAGTCAACATCTCTCACCTGCTCCACACCACAAACTTCAAAAGCCCGGGTCAACCCGGACCAAAAGCATCTAGTAATTAGTCCACGGCGCCTCCCACCGCGCATTCCTGATTGGGCGCGTGAGAGGGCCGTGTCGGCGCGCGCTCTTACCAGTCCGGGGAATTCCACTTCCTCTCCCTCCCACCCGCACAGGCATTCCGGGGCGGCGCTTCCCGGCCGCGGCCCGCCCCGGCTCCGACCGGTGCCTGCCGAGTCTCGCGAGAGTTTCCGGGCTTGGGGGCGGGCCCACACCAGGAAGAGGGCACAAAACTGCCCTTAAGTCATCGCAGACCTCCAGCTCCGGGAAACCAGCCACGAGGTTATCGCGAGAACCGCTTCCATATACCAAGTGAGAAAAACTGGGGGGGAGGGGGGGACACGCTGCTGGGAGGGGCGTGGGGGGTTCTACGGCGCAGCTGCCGTTTCCATTACCTTCCTGCTATGGACTCCTTCCGGTTCTCGATGCTTCTCTGAGTCTAAGGGTTTCCGCCGCCCCTCTACCCTCCCCCCCCCTTCCCCGCCCCAGCCCATGACCCGCCTCCGGCCCCCGCCCTCCCGGTCCAACCTCCGGTCAGTTTTGTAAGAAGGTGCTGCTCTGAAAGGAAGGAGAAGTGGGCAGCGCAGACGCTCGGCCCCGGCCGTGGGAAGGAAACTGCCTCCCCGCACCCTCGGGCGCGTCCTGTGCTCGCGAAGGCGGCGTTGGCGGACGGATCCGCGGCGGTGAAGAGGCAGGCGGGGGGGAGGGGCGGAGCGTGGCAGCTGGCAGTAGTTCCGTCAGAGCGGACATCTTGTGGCTGTGTGTCGTGCGCGTGAGCCCCGTAGGGCCGGGGAGGCACCCAGCTTCCGCGCGGGGAGGAGGCCGAGGCCGCAGCCGGAGGGAGGCCCCGGCCCCTCAGTACGCGTGGGTGCGGACGGCTCAGGGGAAGGGGGGGGGGGCCCGGCTGGCTCGCCGGCCGGCCGGGTGAAGAGGGGGACGCAGGAGGCCCCGGGCGGCTCGAGCGGCCAGCCTGCTGGGTGGGGTGGGGTGGGGTGGGGTGGGGAGAGGAGAGCGGAGGAGCCGGGGCCTCTCGGGCTTCAGGGGGAGGGGGAATGGGCGCGTCCTCGCGCCTCCGCCGGGGCCTCTGGGGCCGCCCGGGCGCGTGGCGGCGGGGGCTGGGCGGGGAGCGCGCGGGTGCGCGCCGGAAGGCGGAGTGGACGGTGGCGTCAGGGGCGACACGGAATCGCTGTGGCTGCGGGGACCGCCGCGCACAGCCAGCCTCTCCTCTCTCTGTTCCCTCCCTTCCCGTCCCCGGCCGCACCTTTGGGTGGAAACCGAAAGGAGCCGGGCGCCGGCCGGGAGCCTCCCGCCCCCCCTCCCCCTAGCCTTTCTCTGCCCCGGTGACGCCGGCCCAGCGCCGACTAGGCCCCGGCTCCTCCTCTGCCGGGCGCCGGACCCTGCCCCGCACCCACCCCTTTCTCCTGCGCCTCTTCCTCTCCCACCCGGGCTCGGCCTCCCCTGCGCCCCTGCCGGCCCCCCTCGCCTCCTCTCGGGCCCGGAGCGCGGCGCGGAGGCTGTCGGTGGCTTGGCCGCGCCACCCCGCCCTCCCCGGACCCCGGCGGCTTTGAGGGACCTGGTGGATTCATCGGGGGTCCCCCCGGGGCCTGTGCGACTGCTGATCCGCTTCGTTTTTGCAAAAGGCGCCTGTGTCTGGCAGAGCCGGTGTGAGACGGAGAGACCAGCCTTCCCTGGGGTTAATCAAGAGTTTTGGCCGGACCTCTGAGCGCACACACCGAGACAGTGAGGAGCCAGACGCAAAGCACAGACTATGGCGCTGAAACGGATTAATAAGGTGACCGCGGAGCTGGGCGCGATGGGGCCGGGGAGGGACGGAGGGCCGGGGCGCGGGGGCGGCGGGGAGACGTGGGGCTTTGGAAGTGGCCTGCCTGCCCCGGGTCCCTCTTCCTTTGGGGGATGGGGACGCGGATGTGCTCTGTGAAGGAAGAGAGGGTTAGAGCCAGCGAGCAGAACGCGCGTGGCAGGTGGGCTGTTATCTTGAGTCTGTTTTAGCGACATTGGTGCGTATTTGGGGTGGGGAAGGGTGATCTCAGGCTCCTTGGTTCTGCTTCTAAAGGCAGAGTTCCTCTGGTTTCGGGGTCAAAATTGAGGGGAGACGCTCCCGCGGATGTCATGGCGCTTCCTGTTCTCGGTGCTTGGAAACTTAATTGTAAGACCAGGGTTCTAGGCTTTCTAGGGATAAGAGAGGTAGGAGACTCAGCGGAGGGAAGATCGCCGGAATCCGGCGGGTCCTGAACTTTATTAGGGTGGGATCGTCTGAACCCCAGGAGCAGTGAGGGAGCCTAGTGAGAAAGAAACTCATCACTCGGGGCTGTTACACAAGAATCTGTGGTGTTGGGAGGAGAGGAGCTGACACAGTGTTGCCACTTCCTATATGGCTCAGGTTTTCCCCCCGAAGCTATTTATCTGAAGCACACCGGGAACTGATGTAACAGCCCCTGGAAGCTTTCTTTCTCTGGGCTGGGGGCTGGGGTTGGGGAAAGGGGTGCGATGGCAGTAGGCTAAGGTTAGGTGTACCTATTTTTGCTTCAGCCCGTTTAAGAACACCCTCTGGGAAGATTGATTCGCTCCTTGAAACGTTTGATACTAACCTGTCGATCTCGGTTGAGAAAAAAAAAGGGGGGGGGGGAGTATTTCAAGCCTCCGGGTGAGCGGAACCTCCACCTCCGGTGGTTTAGTCTCATTTTCTTGCTCTAACTTCTATCCCGCATTTTAAGATGGCGGCTGCTTTAACTGGTTCAGGCTTTTCCGGCATCTCCTTTTGTAATAAGAAGAAATAATATTCTTTGTTAAAGGTTAACTTTTACATTAGGTTGTACACTGCGCTAAGACCTCCTGCTCAATACTTAGCTATATTCCAACTCTCAGACCGTATTTCCCTTTTTTTGTAACTTCAGTGTATGTGTGATGTGTTTGGTTCTTGCACAATCCAGGAGGGTGGAGTATTTACAGCTAACTTGAAAAAAATGTCATGGAATAAATTCAGCCTTACTAAAACTAGGAGACAGGGGAGGTTGTGGGTTAGAATCTTTTAAAAAGGGTTGTGCGTGGAAGGAAATGCAAGTGCTTGGCTTTACTAAAATAGGACTGATACTGATTAATTTTTACATTTACGTGTCACTGGTGTTTATTTGAAAAAACTGCTATATTTGACGAAGTTTTAGATCTTCACTCCATGTACTGATGATTTGATTTTGTTTTAAGGCATCATTGCATTGTCATTGGTTTATGTAAATATAAACTTAAATCTATATATTTGAGAAGATGGAAAAGAAGAAAAACTATGAATTAAGGCTTAAAGGATTATTTAAACATCCTTTTCTGTGACCCCTTTGAAGGCCAGCAGCACATTGGAGAAGCATAGTTATATTTTACAGCATAGTTAAATATAGAAAACACAATATTTAATACGAATCAAAACCTTTTTAATCTTTGGGAATTAGGGTCACTGAGATGTGGAATAATTTCAAGTCCGTAACTTTTTATACGTGTGGAACAACATTTTAAAGGAGGGTCTCATTGATTTTTTTTCTTTTGCAGGTGATAACCAGCTGCTGTGACACCACTTTTAATGATTTAAAAGCTCTAGAGAAAGATTGTAATGGTTAAGAGTGTGAATTTTGGAGCAGAAATGCTCCAGTTAGAATTCTAGGACTGGGCAAGTTATCTGTGAGCTTCTATAAAAATGAATATTTGTTTAATATTAACAATAGATACGTAGCAGGCACTGTTCTAGACACTGGGGATGCAACAGTGAGCAAAACAAATTTTAGATTTCTAGATTTTTTATTTTTTAGTACTATATTAGATTAATGTGTGGCTTTGAACTGGCACATGGCACTCAGATTATTATTACTGCTATTTTATTATCACTTTAATCTTCAATACTTTTATTAAAGTACTTTTTAGCCAAGTAGTCTTTTTTTACTTGCTTGTCATGTAAATATTTTGAAGATGTGTATAGTATAGAATCTTGATATAATGACACCTAACAAATTGGAAAAGTCGCTGGTTTTTTGTTGTTTTCTTTTTAACCTATAGAAAAGTTTTGACTTGCGTGTGCTTTGGTTTTCACCAGTTGCTGTCAGAATCACACAGTGAGACTTTAAAAAGAAATTCAGTTCCAAACAGAATTTTAGAAGTGGACAACTGTTGAGAGAGGGTACCTTTGTTCTAGGAATAATGAGGTCAAGTAGGCATTGATGTTAGTATGGTATTTCTTGTGTCATGTACCTATTTATTTTGAATTCTTCTTTGAAAGCCTCCAATTCTGAATACTAAGATATATCTTATTATTTTAATGAAGTGCTCATTGTCCGACTATCTAACCATTGATAGTTCATTTGATTAAGCCTTTGAGTTTATTTTGTTCTAAAGCTTATGTTTTTACAATTTTGGGTTCGAATATTTCTTAGACCAAGCAGCCTTATCAAATATTTTCTTAGACCAAGCAGCCTTATCAGAAAACCTTGTTTGGTTTTTGCTGTATACTTTATTTTAGACAAGCTGTAGTATGGTCTAATGAAGCTATTTATTAAACAACAATCAAAAGTAGGAACTCCAAGTTGATTGGTGGTATTTGGGAGCAATAGTGATTTCACTGGTAAACAAAATAACTACAGTGCATGGGATATTGAGAGGACTTGGCATAAAATATAATGTGAACCAAGCCTACAAGAATTGCTTCATGCTTTGTGTGTTCAGTGTGTTAGAACTATTTGAAACACTCGTATTAACTCATTTAATCTTATAACAACTCAAGAAAGCAGGTACAATTATTGTTTCCGTTTGGATATTAGAAATTTTGAGACGCATGTTAAGGAAAAAACTCCCAGGGTTATATCAGAGTTGGAATTAGAACCTACTAATAATAGCTTGGTCATAGTATCTACTGTGTACTCAACTGTTTCTAAAACCATTGTATCAATTAACTTAATCTTTACAACAACCCTGAGAGATAGATGCATTCCATTTTATACTTAAGGGAACAGACTGAGAAGTTAAGTTACTATCCTCACACAGCTACTTAACTGAGATACAAATCAATTTACCCTCTAAAATTCCAGGCTGTACTGGTGTTTTGAACTATTAGGTCTAGTAATAATTAATGTCGTTTTCTAATACTTTTTAAAATCGAATTTATTTAAACAATACAACAAAATTTAATCAACAATATAGTTGCCGTTGTTTTCTACTACTTGTGCCCAACGCTCAGGAAGCATTTTAATCCCTCTGTTGTAAAATTCTTGTGATTTTGATGCAAAAAAATTCGGTCAATGCATTTTTGAGGCATTCTTCATTATTAAATTGTTTTCCAAGAAGAAAGTTTTGCAAAGAACGAAACAAATGGTAATCGGAAGGGGCAATATCAGGAGAATATGCAGGTCGAGGGAGAACTTCCCATTCCAACTGGCGCAGTTTTTCAGCAGTGATTCTTGCAGTATGCGGTCGTGCGTTATCGTGGTGAAGAATTAAGCCCTTCCGATTAATCAGCTCGGGTTCTTTTTCTCTTAAAGCTTGGGCTAACCTTTCCAATTGGGCACTATACACTGCACTTGTACTGGTTTGGTTAGATGGTAAAAGCTCATAATGAAGAATTCCTTTAAAATTCCACCAAACACACAACATCACTTTTTTCGCATGCAAGTCAGGTTTTGGCGTGGGCTGCAGAGCCTCATTTTTGTCCAACCATTGAGGCCGCCTTTTCAAATTAACATACAGCACCCATTCTTCATCTCCAGTAACAATTTGCTCTAAAAACGGCAAACGGTTTTTGACGAGAGAGGAACTGCAAATTGTGACTCTTTGATTACGGTTGTTGTCAGTCAACTCATGAGGAACCCATTTTCCAAACTTTTGGACTTTGCCAAGTGCACGCAATTGATTGGAAAATTGTTTTTTGTGAATAATTTAAAGTTGTCGCAAGCTCTTGTTGGGTAATTTGAGGATTTTGCACCAAAAGAGCTTGAAGAGCTTCTTAATCAAAATTGGACACACGGCCTCGACCACTCTTGTCATCTAATGAAAAAATTTCCCTCGCGAAATTTCTCAAACCAACGCTGGCATTTTCTGGCGCTAACTGCATCTTGACCAAGAGCACTACAGATGTTTTTTGCAGCCTCACTTGCTTTTCTTCCTAATTGGAACTCGTAAAGCATGCAGTGCCGAATATGCTCTTCATCCGCCATCTTCTTAGCCCTAGTTTTGCAACAAAAACCAAACCAAACACAAACTTTTTCAAGCAAAACTTGTTAATTGCACTTCACACGTTCTGTAGATACCACGTGTTTGAAGGTTATGTCAATACAAGTCAACGCCAAGCAAGATTTTAAACGAATGTTTAAAACGACATTAATTATTACTAGACCCGATATATCATTTTCTGTTTTATAGTTTTATGAGTGTCATGTTAGTCTTGGCTACCTGAAGTAGGCTCTTTTTCTTCCATTTAGCATTGACATGGGATTTAACTTTAAATACTGTGAATTAAATATTTAGCTAACATGAGTTTTTGAAAGTATGAGTGAATATCTTTTTGGCCTCTCTCTTCAAGGACTATGAGAACTACCATGTACCCAACTAATCACTTAGGGATATATTGAACTTGTCCCCAGTGAGCCTTGAGGGTGGATACACTGTCTTACATGTGTTTCTTTTAAGAATCTCAAGATGTCTGTAGCTAGCTAATTTGTTGGACAGTTGTGTGACTGAAGGATGCTTGATCTTATAATGACCTCCATATTTATTTAATTTGAAAAAGAGTGCCTTACTCTT